GTTATTCGGATCGGTTCCATTCCGAGTTTACTAAATTACGATTCGGGTCGGTTTTCGGTTTCAAAAAATCAATTGTTTATCGAGTCGTTTGGATTTGGGCAGTTAAATGGTTTTGGTTTGAAATTTGATAGTATTTGCTGGTTAACAAGTTTTATATAAAGTAAAGACTTCATCATTTCATATTTAGGCATCATATTATAAACAAATTCACATTGATTTTATAAATATATATCATGTTCTGTTTCAAGTTTAGTCATATTGATCTTACTAGTGTATTACGAAGTAGATTATAAAAGTTAGTGAATTAATGTATTATTGTTTTACAACTAGGTTGTTATATGTTTCTTATTTAATCATTTAAATACTAGTGTCAAAGTCATGATTTGATGAGTTCTTATTAAATGGAAATTTGCAATTTGGTAATTCGATACTTGATTAATCAACAAGACTGGTAATTATGGCTCGTTTATCTTTATATATTTTCATGAAATTATGAAGATATTACAAAGTAGTTTGATTTGTGTAATGAAAGAAAACATTAATGATTTATTAACAAGGTAATATTGATTAGTTCAATCGATCGTATGTACACATTAACGCATAGCATCTAACCATCTCATAGTTAAATACTTCGTATGTATTAGTACAAAGTTATAAATTAGTGAACATTATTTTGATTGGATCAATAACTTGAGCTGTTGTTTTAAATTAAATTAGGATCATTGTTCGTGTAGTTTAAGTATAATGATCTACACCATCTCTAACTATTATTTTAATACTCCACCCGTCCCTTTATTTTGTCCCTTTGTCATTTTTGGGGTCAAACTTTGAAAATATTGACCATAAATTACCACTAATCTATAAAACAGTAAAACTTAATTTTGTCACGAGACTCATGAGTCATGACTCATGACTTCATGAGTGATCTTTTTAAATTTGTATCATTATATATTTTATTAATATAACGTTTTTATAATTTTTACTTGTATGAAAATAAAGATATACTACGTAGATGTTTTAATACGCGTCTTGGAGACTGATCCCGATCAAATGAATACACAACACACAAAACATCATCTAATCAGTCTCAACCATAGATCAAAAACAATCTACGGTTAATTTTTTTCTCCCACAACACACACGGATCACCACTCTCAACCATAGATTAAAAACAATCTACGGTTAGATTTTTTTCCCCACAACACACACGGAAAACCATTCTCAACCATAGATTAAAAAATCAATGGTTAGATTTACATCTCAACCATTTTGATACCCTAATTCCACTTTCACTTTCACGCCTCCTAGTTCTTTCTCTCCTCATCTCCTCTCAGATCTCACTCATTCATTCACGGCGCCTCTTCGTTTGTCGTCTCTCTCATTCATTTTCAATTCTCCCTAATTCATTCACGGCGCCTTTCGTTCGTTGTTGCTGCTCATCGGTGTTGTTGCTGCTCTAATCCTCGCTTATCAGTGTTGTTGCTGCTCTAAACCTCTCTTTTTTTGTCCAGGTATGATATCTCTCTTCCTCGTACTTCTTGCAACTGATTTAATCTGATTTATGAAGTAGAAGAATTAAAGTTGTAGTTATAATTCCCCTTAATGAGTATATAATTGTATAATTGTATAATTCCTTCACTGGTAATCAATCTTACTCTATTTCAGTGTTGTTTGATTCAAAGTTCCTTGCTTTCTGTGTACTTGTTATTGTGATTTCATTTTAACTGAAATTAGTTTTTTTTGAGGGAAAATTGATCAATGAATTGCTTTTTCATTGATGTGCTAATTTTTTGTAACAAAAATCATGATAATCTGTGATTTTTTATTTATATCATGTATAGATAGTATCATTCATGGCATTGATTAATTTAATTTCAAAATAGTATGGATTCATAATTTCGCTATGATTTCCTTCTGTTCAATTCTGAGTTAAAATTTTATCTGGTTTTCATTTTATCATGCCAAATATGAAAACCCTTTTGAATATTGGTTTAATTGAGTTAATTTTGTGTTAAAAATTGGAATTGCATGTATATGTTTTTTTGGGCTAGAAATAGTAAATTAGGTTAAGCTTATACTATAATGTAGGTTTTAATAGAAAGGGGTTTTTTCTAATTTGTGAAATTAATTGTTTTTTTCTCACTTAAATCAGGAAAAATGAGAATGAAAAGAAAATCTCTAATTGAGGAAAGGTATTATGGGATCAAAAAGAGGCAGATGAATTTTATAAAGATGGTACAAGAAAGAGCTGTTAAAATGAAAACTTCTTGGGTGCCTTTTTTACCTAATGAGTATATAATTGTATAATTGTAAGTTAGGTTAAGCTTAATGAGTATTTAATTTTCTAGTAGTTAAAAATTAATGGGTTGCTACTGAAATTTGATTATATGAGTTTATTAGCGTTTATAGAAAAATAATATGGGATTAATGACTTTTCACTCTCTATTCTATTTGTTGGTTTCACTATTAAGTGTACATCTCAATGTAATGGGTTTTCGACTCTTAACTAGAGTGTAAAAAGTACCTAAATGTGTTAGCATTGATAGGGACAATTATTTGTTATAAGGCTGAAATGTGTTGTTTTGATCCTGTTTTTTCAGCAATGGATCAAGGGTATGAAAATTATGATGAGGACAGACAAGATTATTTAGAAACTTCAGATTCTCAAAACACTATTCAGAATCAAGATTCTTCTCAGCAACAAGTCACTACCACTAGTGGTAGTAAGCGTGGACGAACATCAGATGTGTGGAGGCATTACACCTTTTTTGATAAGATTGTTGGTCTTGCTCCGATAAGATATGCGCGATGCAATGTTTGCGGTAATGAATATAAAGCACCAGGTAAGGCTGGTACTTCCACTTGTAAAGCTCATACTAAGGCATGCATGGGTAAAAATATACATCATCCTGCAAATCTTGAAAGTGTTGTTGATCCTACGTTTAATCAAACTCGTCATTTACAATTGCTTGCTAGAGCTATAATTTTGCATTCCTATCCTTTAAATATTGTGGAGCATCATGGCCTTAGGGAAGTTTTTACGAATCTGAATCCTAATGTGAAGCATGTGTGTAGAAACACTATGTTGAAATATTGTATTGCTGAGCATGATAAGTTTAAGTCCTTGTTGTTGCAATCTTTTTCTGGAATTGAAGGTAGAGTTAGCTTCACTTGTGACTTGTGGACAGCATGCACTAATCGAGGTTATCTCACTTTAACTGCACATTATGTTGATAAAAATTGGAATCTCAAATTAATGTGTACCCCATATTAGCTATTATGGCTAGGGATGTTTTGGCCATTCCTATTACATCGGTAGCCTCTGAGTCTTCTTTTAGCATGGGTGGTCGTATTTTAAACAAGTATAGGAGTGCACTTTTGCCTAAGAATGTTGAGGCGTTGGTTACCACACAAAATTGGTTACGTGGTTATGATTGTGATATTGAAGAAGACGTCCTTGAAATTGGTAAAGAGGTGATAGATGAAAGTTTTGCATCTAATTAGAAAGGTATGGATGTTGCTATTTTACTGATGCTTAATTTATATTGTGTTGCTTAATTCAAGCTTTCTTGTTTTTTTTTTTTTTTGTGAGAAAAGTGTAGCTTCATTTCTTACACTAATGATAAGTATAGGGTGCTGCTACTGCTGACTGCTTCTTCTCCTTACTGTTGTTCTGCTGACTTGCTGTGCTGCTGACTTGCTGTTCTGCTGTTGTTCTTCCATTCTGCTGCTGCTCTTCTTCCATTTTGATGTTCTGCTGCTCTTCTTCCATCGCTGCAGTTCTGCCATTCTGCTGCTGCAGTCTGCAGTGCTGCTGATCTGCCATTCTGCTGTAGACTGTGGTGCTGGTGTTAATCTTGTTATGCTAAAAACTTGTACAATTCTGTTGTTAAAACTTGTTTGTATGGATTGGTTGGTTTGATTTTGTTACTTTGTTGTTAAAAATTGTTTAATTATGTGTATGGATTGGATTAGTTTGTTTTGGTTTTGAAAAGTTGAAACTTGTTGAATTAGAAGTTTTATAACTTGTTAATGCTATTAATCCTATTATGCTACTGGAATACTGCTATGTTGATGAATAAGGCCCAAAAGGCCAAAAAATTGTAGGTTATTGCCCAAAAAACCAAAATTGCAGATTATTCCCCAAAAACCAAATTAAAGTCAATACTCACGGATTAGCTAACGAAGTGCTATTTCTAAGGGAATTTAGTATTAACTAAGTTACTAAGATATATACAATTAATATGATAAGTATATGGTCTCAAGAAAAACTGATAAGTATGGAATATATGCTAAATATATATTCTAAGATTTCTAATACTTAATCCAAATAATTACATAAAAAAGTGCACCAAAAAAATATTATTATTACATACAAAAAAAGCTTGTAAACGGTTCGATTTATAAGCGGTTTGGTTCATAAACGGTTCGGTTTATAAGCAGTTCGGTTCATAAACGGTTCGGTTTATAAGTAGTTCGGTTTACAATCAGTTCGGTTTTTAAATGGTTCGGTGCAAACGAGTAGCAGTTTGCTAACAGTTCGGTGTAAGCGGTTTTTATGCCAGTTTAAATGGTTTCGGGTTAGAAACGGTTCGGTTCATTTTCGGTTCGGTTTCCTTTTCAGTTCGGTTTAGATTTGGTTCGGTTCTTAATCGGTTTAACGTTTTCTCGGATCGGTTCGGTGTCGGTTTTACTAACATGCGGTTCGGGTTGGTTTTCGGTTTCAAAAAAATCGGTTTTTAATCGGTTCGGTTCTCATTCGGATCGGTTGAAACAGTTCGGTTTCACCGGTTCGGTTCGGTTTTTGACAGTGCTATCCCTAACCTATAAAAGCCCCAAGAACTAAGTAAGGATTGCCTCAAAGTGATGCTTTGCTTAGCTACAGTTCTGTTGTGAATTTGCCCTCGAAAGTAACCTGCAGTGTTTGGACTTTTTGCCCCCCAAAAAGTCCAATTACATATTTGTCCTTCCGTGTGGCATGTGCTCTGATCTTCTACATCCCTCTTTGTGTGGTCGACGTCTCTTAGATTTGCTTCACTCTTTGCGTGCCTTAATCTCTCTCTCTCTCTCTCTCTCTCCCTCTCTCTCTTTCATTTCATTTCCCCATCCTTCCCAATAAATGGTCACTTTTCTCACCAAGAGCAACAAGCTACAGCCGCTGAGAACTGCGAAGAAGGCTCATCCATGCTTTGTCTTATCATCATCTAAATCAATTTCACGGTTCGGTTCATCGTTAATTTATTTGTTATTTTAGTCTGTTAGTTCTATTTTCCTTTCAATTTTCGTTTTTAGTTTATACAAACTGAGTACGATTTGGGTCTCCTCCATTGAAGTGGCTTATGAGGTAAGGTTTTTTTCCAACTATTGAAATCAATTTTACAATCTAGAGTCCGTTCTTTTTTATTTTGTCAATTAACTGTTTTTCCTTTCAATTTAGTTAAATTTGATTTTCCTTTTTTAACTTTAAATTTTGTTGTTTTTACTTTTGTTTTGTACTACTTAAAAAAAAAACAAATAATAATTAAAAAAACCACTTTAAATCTATTTTCTGTTTGAATTTTTGGGTTTTAATGGCCATTTAATTCACCTACGCACTTCGATTTTCTTCTTTGGCAATTTTGATCATTTATTTTTGGTGATCTATATCGATGGATTAATCTGTATGTTTTTGGCCTATTTTTGGTGAGTTGAGTTTATTATTATTTTTTCAAAATGAGAGTTTAGATTATTGGGGTTTATGGTATAATAGGATCAATAGTTTCTGATGGGTTTTGATTTGGGTTTGCAGCTAGAAGACGAGGAGATGCTTATGCCCCATTCTGATGTCGCAGTACTACTTCTACTACAGGAGAAACTTATTGTGAAGAGCTATGAGGTTGGGAGATTAGTAAGACTGCTACTTTATTATGTGATTGTTTAGTTGTTTTGATGTGTGTGTGTGTGTGTGTGTGGCATAATGAGCAAATAGTTACAATGTACCTGCAGATTATGTCTCCAATATGAAACTTTTAACAATTGCTAAAATTTAGTAAGCAATTTGGTTGTTTTTTTTTTTTTTTCCTTCAGCTTGCAATTAAGGCAATTTTTGTTGATAACTAAGCCTTAATTATACCATTCTGAGCTATTGTTTCTATTTGTCAAATATTTGTCTTTCGAATGTGTTAGGTTGGTTTTAATTTTATTCTAGAAATCAATTCAAGGTTTATAGGTTCTTCAACATTGTTTTTAACAATGTCTTATTCAATGCCTTGCGGAAACTAATATAAGTAATATCAGTGGCATTGGATTTGGCTTTGGTAATGATTGGTTAATTTTTTAATTTCATTAGTTTGCTTTGTTTTAATCTTAATTTTGAGGTTTGAACTTATGGTTCATCATTTTTCTTTTTAAGTAATGGGTTGATTGTAATTGTGCCTAAATTTAATATCCCTTTGATCAATAATCTATGTTTGTTACTTTTCAATTTTAATACTTAAATCTTAATTGAATTGTGTGTGTGCATGTTTATTATGTGATCAGCTTTTAGGGGTTGAAAAAGTAGCTCATTGAATAAAGTGTGGGTTATCCTTTTTATCTCATTGCTCAGTCTATGCTTCGTATGCTAAATGACAACTCGTGAATGTTTTTTTAGCTGAGGTAGGGAACTAGGTAGGAGAACGGAGTTATTTTGAAAGTGACTTTTCTTATCTATGCATGTTATGGTCACTGTATAAACTTTTGCTATAGCTCTCTGAAATTCAGTGAAATGCAAAGTGAGGTGTAGTTGAATTTATTGTTTCTTGGCTTTTGGTTGGTTTTGTTCTGACGTTTTTGCCTTCAAAAATAGTCTGCACTTTGCTATAAGCTCTTAGAGATATATATGTGTATCCAGCATGCAAGTTTAGTGATATGCTTTTAAACAAAACTTCATGTTTTCTGTGAACAATCTTGCAACTCAGATCTCTTGTGGTTTCATAAGCTCTTAGAGAACTTGCAAGCAGCATAAAAAACAGGCGTCATTGCTCTCCATCAATTCTCTTTGGACAAAGTCAGAGACAAGTATGCAGTGAGCTCACTAACTGTAGCTGGGGGTATTGCTGTTTGGGGTTCTGTTGGCATAATCTATGTGAGTCATTTCTGTCTCTGCTCACTTATCAAAAGAGTGATTTGTTGCATGGATTGAACCTCTATATGAAGTATATAATTTGTTAGTCATGCGACCAAGTAATCTTCAGTGACTTTGGTTGAGAGGGGTGACTATTACATGTAGAGAAATGAATTATTATGTTACAATAGACTATCTATAACTTAGGCCGATATGACTGTAAACTGTTGCTGAACATTTCATTCCAACTGGTTGATACTAGGTGCACCCCTGGCTTACTAGGGTATTAAAAAAAAAAATGCATGATGGCAGAGTGTTAGAATGATCCATTTTTAACTAAAAGCTGAAACTATGTTCAAGTCATTTTTGTATCGAGGCATGAAAAAAAGCGTAAAGATTAACTCCTTTCTTAGGGAATATAGAATAATTGTACTATAAAACATACTAACAGATGGGTAAATAAATTGCTATCTTGTAGGAAATTTACAGGCTACCTTTTTCCCAGTCAATTTTGAGCTTGTAGGTTTGGTTACAGAGGGTTAAATCTCAACACCCATTAACTAATTTTATAGGATTGCAATGCTGTTAATCTACTCAAATCATGTTTAATCTGAATTCACCTGTTGTTGTTGTTGTTGTATTATTATGCAGTGATTTGTATACCAGAATCTAGTCTTCAATCCATTAGATCGAATTAAATTAACACTCCTACAATCTTATGCCAATTATCACATCGTATTTAATCCTTTACATTATGTTTCAGGGAAGCTTTGCTACAGAAAATTTAAGGCACATACAATGAACAAAATCAACAAGCAGACAAGTTAGCAGGAAATTTGGGGATGTATGCCCAAAAGAGTTGAACAGAGATTCTGCAAAAAAAAAAAAAAAAAAAAGAAATTGCATTTGAAATGGAAAATCCTACTACTCTTTTGTACTCATATTCCTCTAACATTAAGTAAACTCTTGTAATTTACCCTCTCTCCCTCTAATCGAAAGGCACACTCTTGTACCTATATTCTTCTAAAACCCTATGTCTTAATTTGACCATCATCACATAATACCAATAATATTTCATGCTATTTCGCCAACTTCATGCCTTATGTTATTCATAATATGCATCATCAGAACACAATGCAAGTACAACCTAGATTGATTGAGTATATCGGCAAACAGGTCATTCGGGTCTGGTATGGGCTGGGTTAAGTTTGGGTAAAAAAATTATCGGGTCAAGATTGGGTTGGGTCATTTTGGGTTTCGGGTTGATTTCGGGTTGGGTCGGGTTTTGGGTCAACATTTTGGGTCGAGTTCGGGTCTGGTCAAGTTCTGTTCGGGTCAGTTTGGGTCGAGTCAGATCGGGGCGGGTCAATCTTCGGGTCCAATTTCGGGTCAGCTTCAGGTCGGGTCATATTCGAGTCGATGCATTGGGTTGAATTCAACTCTATATACTACATTTGTTTCATATTATTTGCATCGATTTGACATAAAGTAGAAAGGAAAAATGTCTAATAGTTGCAAATAATATGAAACGGAAGTAGTATATATTTATATATTTTTTGACGAGAAACTCACTATATTTATTAAGGGTACTTTTTTCATGGAATACAATAATTGTTTAATTTAGATTATTTTGTAAGTTCCTTTAGTATTGAACATTATGTCATGTACGCATTATTATTGCATTATTTTTTTTTTCTAGACATGTGAGAATTGTGACTTTTATTTCAAGCTTTAGTTAATTTTTTTAATCTTATGGACAAACTCTGTAGAATAGTCGTTAAATTTCAATCTTTTTACGATTTTTTAATAAGTTATAGAGATAAAAGGCCGAAGAAATAGAGAAAAGTAATGCTCAAAATATGTAAATTACTTAAACTGTTAAACATTACAAATTAATACAAAAAATTTAAGTCAGTTTGATTGTGGTTTGGGTGTAAGATAATTTTGGTTTGGGTCATTTTGGGTTTCGAGTCTATTTGGGGCAATTAATTCAAGTTAAAGGTCAGGTCACTTTGGGTAACGGGTCAACTTCGGATCCGGTCGTTTTGGATCGGGTCATTTCGGGTTCGGGTTAAGGTAGAGTCAATTCCACTTCGGGTCGGGTCGGGTCAGGTTGATTCGGGTTTTGGGTCAATTTCGAGTCACTATTTTCGGGTTGATTTTGGGTCATGGGTCGGGTCATCGGGTCTGGGTCAGAATTGTCAGGTCTAGACTGATGGAGCTAGATAAGCTACACACTTATACTAACCCATGAATCTAAGATTCAATTACAAAAACTTGAGCTATAGAATCACTAACAAAACTGATATCTTCATTATTTCATTTTAAGAAATGGTTACATACTTCAAATTTTATTTATTTATTTTTTTTTTTTTGCCAAATTCTTTCTTACATACTTCAAATTATTTTCTTTTTGTCAAATTCCTATAAGATTTCCGAGGATGTATAATACATGTGAAAATAGTTGTAGAATAGTGTAATTCTCCTTAGTTGGAGTATTCTCATTAATCAATATATATAGGTATGTACAATCCTAATTACGAGAACCCTAATTACACAAGATATATCTTTACGGAATATTAACAAGATAATATTAACCTATTATCTATTGAAGCGGGAGAAGATCGAACTTGTAAACCGTTCACGGATCATAAAAGGCAACCATGAATAAAGGGACAACGATAGGAAACAACGATTGACTCGTGAAGGTTACACCCCATTAATAATCCATGAGATTACTAACCCCACATGGTTCAGAACCACGAAAGGAGGATCGAGGATGATGGTACGAAGTGAGTCACAGAGTCACATTTGCCCGTATTGGCCTCTACTCGATTCTTATAATGAAAAGTGATTCCTGCGATCTCAAAGGAATGCAAACAAAATATTTAGTTTGCTCCAATATGTTGTTAAGCTAAATTGGTTAAATATTAATGCAACGCATGATTCTAAATTATTAGTGACCACTTGATCAAACAACAAGATTAAAAAAGAACCTAAACCGGTTGTCCAAATTATCTTATTAGGCATGTTATTTAATTACCTATTCCCTTTAAACATGCAATATGGTGATCAATAAATATATAATAGAATAAACATTAATATTGGAAGCAATTCAACAATAAATTGTTAGTAAAATCAAACCATAATAAACCTAATCATGATAATAGCAACAAGAATAAAAATAAGAGTAATTAAGTAATTAATTACTCACTTTCTACGTTTCCTTGAATTTCTACATTATGAATAAAATGTTTGTAACTTCAATAAATATATAAATCAAATTGAAACAATTAAATTAAGTAAAAAGTAGAGTTGATTTGGTCCAACCCTCAGTTAATTATACCTTTCACGCCTTGGTTTTAAAAGGAATGGTGTCCTTCGAACAAGTATATTATACTAATAGTGGGTTCAGAATTATTAGAAAGCTAATATATTCAGTAAGGTCAATGATCGTAATGCCTGGGTGGAGGCCGCTTCCGATCAGTAATATTAATGCATAATTAATATTACAGCTTAATCTTAACTGAACCCTTTTGGTCACACCCAAGCAACTAACAAACCGAAGTGACGAATTAATTCATAAAGGAATTAATGACTCGACCGAGAAATTTATATTTTGACATCGGAAATTCGAGCTTGGAGCGTCAAAATCGAGCGTCAGAGAATCTCAAACGTCGAGCCAAAATTTAGGAATTGGCGATACGGGAAAATGCTTCAAGTAACAAGTAAAAACCCTAGCCACGCAAAAACAAGGGAAGCGCGCCAAATAGGAGTGTACCACGTGGCAGCACACCATGTGTCAGCTCACGTGGCAGCCACCAAGTGGCAGCGCGCCATGTGGTAGCGTTCCACGTTAGCAGCGCGCCATGGTGGTTGTTTTGGGTAATTTTACCCATGCCACGTGGTCTAATCAGACCTTGACACGTGTCATACCCTGGTTGGTCCAAATTGGGCCAATCTCCTTCTGACACATGTCCCTCCTAGAACTTTGGAGAAAAAGGCGGCCTTCAATGGCCCAAATCGCGATAAAGCTGTAATTCAGCACACCCTAGAATGATTAGGTCAGAGTGACCTAATCAATGGCACTTATTCCAATGACCCTATAAATAGGGAGATTTTCCCCCATTTTTGGGGCATCTACAATTATTTACAGCATACTCTACAATCTCTTACATCAGAGAATCACCAGATCTCAGAATCCGAGAAAATCTCACCTCTTTTTCCGCACTTACTCCCATTTATCTTCAAGTACTAACTTGATCGTCGGAGGCGGAGCTCTAACCACCCGGAGTCTCCGTTGTTTTTGCAGGTACAGGTCGCGCGCAACCAGTCTCTGAGATGTAACTCTCCCAAGGGACAAAAACACCGAAAATATTTGGTGTCGTATGTGGGGAGAGTACCTCAAGGATGGTTCAAGAGTTTGTACCACCTCTTGACCGCCAGGTTAACCAGCCGAAGGTCTTTACTGACTAAGAGGATGATGATCCTTAGGTCAAAACCTACATAGCCAAAGATGTCTCTCTGATTACTAAGTGCATCCGTCCCAGAGACACTCTGGAACGGGGTGCAAGCCCGGAGGGTACAAGCCGACCCTCTTGTCAGCCGATATGGGAAACCCATACGACAGGCGGGTCTGCCCCGGTAACCCGGGACGAACTCATGAAATCCATGACTAGTTTCAAGGGTGAAATCAAGGATCTGATCACCAAGTGCAAGGCTGGCCCAAGCAAGGGCCAGTCGGCAAGAAAGACTCCTCCAGAGTGGAGAAAGCCAGTCAGGGACAGGCAGCCAACTCCTCATCCAAAGGACAAGGAGGCTGGGATCTTTGACTGGTCCAAGATTCTTCTACCCCCAGAAGAATACAATAACCGCTCGCCGGGATGAACAACCAGTGGGTAACAAAAAATCAATTTCTGACGCTCGAGAAATCATCACCCGCAAGAGAGGTCAGTAGCTATCTGAGTCAACCTATACCTCGAGCTTTCCAAACAGCTTCAAAAATACATCTGCAGGGAATGCTCAATCCTTGCATGAGAGCCATACAGGCGGTAATACCGTCCACTCTGGCCCTCAGATGATCGGGAATGCACTCTATGTACCCCCTATGGTCTACGATCAGTATATATTCCCCTCATTTCATGCAGCCGACCCTCTTTGGGGGTCAGGCGGCATTCAATGTCAAACCTTTGGACTAGCAGGTCCTTATGCTCAAACTTGGTGAACAAAATTCTACGTTCACCAAGGAGATAACCGAAGCTGCACAGCCGGCCAAGGTTAAGAATGTGTTGGTTGGTGCTTATGATGGCACCATCAACTCGAAGGACCACCTCATGGCCTATTCCAACCTCATGCACATGCAGGGGCTGGAGGACGCTATGTGGTGCCGGTGCTTCCCGGCTACATTGAAGAGCATTGTCCAACAATGGTTTGGAAACTTGCCAGTCGGGCGCATCGATAGCTTCAGGAAGCTTGCTTTCCTGTTTGCCTCCAACTTCTCGATGAACATCCCTGTCAAAAAGACAAGTCTCGATTTGAGCACCATCCGGCAGGGAGATAGAGAAGGACTCCGCTCCTATATCAGGCGGTTCAACCTGGTGAGAATCCAAATCCAAGGGTTGTTTCACGAGGTAGCCTATACAGAATTTTTCAAGGGTCTGAAGGATGGGTCGACCTTTAAGTTCGACCTTGTCCGCAAGAGGGTTTTTACACTTTACGAGGCGTTGATAGAAGCGGAAAGCTTTATTCAAGCTACCGACCTCTGCTCGTCCAATCATCAGTCGGACTTATACACTACAAGAAAATTTATCTATAGAGGCAAAACTTTGAGGCAAATAATTTTTCATAGCCTCTAAAAGATATTAGCATCAATTAAAGTATGATTGTCTTTAAATGGTAGTTTTTGCAACAGTGGATTATATGATGCCTCTAAATATTCTTTTTTGCATCAATGAAGTTATTGTTGCCTCTAAATGTTAGTTTTAGCATTAGTGAATTTATATTTGCCTCTAAAAGTTCATTTTTAGCATTAGTGAAACTTTGGTTGCCTCTAAAATTTATTTATAGCAATAATGAATTTTATGTTGCCTCTAAAAGTTTTTTTTATATATAGCAATAGAGAAATGATGGTTGCCTCTAAAAGTTTTTAAGCGGACTTTAAAAAAAAACGGAAATTGTATGTATATTGATTCATGAATAGAGAAATAATTAAGTGGTTATTCTTCTTGTGCAAGCCTTGTACAAAAGCCTTTCATTTGGAAATCTTTTAAGCTTTTTAATTCCATTTTGCAACATTTACTTGGTTAGTTTTCTCTCTATAGATCTTACCTTTTGGTTAGTTTTCACACCCTCCATCGCTCAGATTAAAGTAGCTTAATAGTTTTTAATTTTTCGGAGTAAATTTGTATGTATAGACTATAGATATCACAGAATTTATGTGCAAAATTTTTAGAATTATATCGGATAATTATACTACAATTCAAGTAAACTTGTTTAATTTCATAATTTTTAGTTATTATTTTTATTCTAATTAATTGGCTTGATAATTCATTAAGCTATGATCATCAAGGAATTGAAGAAGAATCCGGATATTTAAATCAATTCAATGGAGTTCGAAGGTTGTTGAGGTAGAGTCAATTATTACGCCCTTCTTCATATCACACTTTTCGTGTAACAATATAATTGTCAAGTTTTTTTTTTTTTTTTTTTTTTTTTTTTTTTTTTTTTTTGCAAATCAATTGTCAACTATCTAACCTCTACAAGTGAAAAAAGGAGGCACACCAAGTCAGGCACTACTTCTAATGGTATCCATGTCCCCAAAATTATACCCTTGTATCTATATCTGCCTCTATATTTTATTTTTTCAATGTATTTACAATATACTTTTGGTATTCCTACAATGAATTTAATATGTATCTAAATTAATATTAAGAGTAGAAAAATAAGGCAAGACTATCAACTACTCCATAGCTACTAGCACATACAATAAGAAAGCTGCGAAAGTTCTATAAATTACTACTCATATAAAACTCTTATTACGGCAATAATAATTTTATTGAGACAATCTCTTATGGTCCATTCCATTCTGTAATTACTTGGAATAATTGATGGACTCCTCTCAAATCATTGTATTAAAAAAATAACATCACATATAAAGTAGCTAGGAACCTATATTTAGACCGCAATAGTTTTACAATTATATTAAAAGAAAAAGATAATAATAATAAAGGGTCATAGATATATAGTATCTATATAATTAGTTTCATCATGATCATTGAGCTCCGGAACATCATAGGAGTTTCTTGGTGTGGTCTTAACTATAACCTTCCAATTTGGCTTCAAAACATCATTGACATAAAATACTTGGTGAGCTTGTGTAGCTAAAATGTAAGGATCATTAGCTAACAACTTTGATGTAATAACGCTTATGAAGTTAAAACAATCGCTATTGATCCCTCGACCATGACTATGCACATCCCACCAGTCACACTTAAACAAAGTGACGCGATTTCCTCCAAGGTATTGAACTTCTATGATTTCTTGTAAGAGGCCGTAATAATCAAGGGTTGATGATCCAGTTTCTCCATTCACAACGATCCCACTATTTTGAGTTTCTCTTCCCCTTTCACTATCCTTTGCACGAAACATAAATCCATTAACCATGTAGCCGTTTACAGAAATCACTGCACGATCTGGACCTTGTGCTAATGCTCTTAAGTTAGTAGTAGCACTTGGATGGTTATCCTTTGATAAAATTGTCACCTATAAGATTGATAAAATATATAAATTAGAAGATTATAAAAAAAAATGATGTTAAAAATACTTAACCATAATATATTAAAAGATTATCTATGTTGTAATCAAGGAAAGCATAGATTCACCAAAGAGAATCACACAAGATGCTTGCATCAATAATACAGCAGTTAATTTCATTAAAACTTTGTTTAGCAGTACATCCTCAAATCCAAAATTTATTATGTCATTAAATTTGTGTCTAAAATGAAAATGGGGAAACCCAAATCACTATCAAATCACATGGACTCAACCTAGCTCTTGCAATTAAAGTGATAATGTTACAAAAGCATGAGCTAGTGTAAGATATATCATTTTCTAAAATACTCCGTATATGACTAAAAACATAAGAAGCCATCAAAAACACCAAACATGAATCATAGTTTAATTAGTGGGTCCTTTTTATTACTACTACTCAATTGAATTTGGAAATGAAAAATACAGTGCTCCTCAACCCCAAAATTGTATATGATTATAACAATGCACCTCTCATAAACACAACTCTAATATCCCTCCTTTTCCCCCTTCCCCCTTTTTTCAGGGGCATTACTTTTGTTCAGATAACTAAAATGAATGCAACATTTTACTGTAGTAGCAGTTTGACATACTTGTCTTGATTTATTCTAACTCACCCAACTAATGTTGCTGCCACTTAAAAAGATATCAAGAACCATCCATAAATCATATGCTTTCTTGATTTTTGCACAAAGACATATGAGATTCTATTTCTACCTAATAAAGATCATGAAGCAAATCCTAATTCATGCTGGAGTCATACACATCATATATACCAAAATAAATTACAACTACTTTTCAGCAACTAGATCAATCACTGTGATCTCTACACCATTTCATGAAATAATAAAAGATATATTTTCAAAATAGAAAAAATATAGGAAATAAATAAACACTTACTTGATCTCTAAACCACTTTATAAATTCTCTTTTATGAGAAGAAATCATCCTCTTGTTACTTGTAGCATTGCGAGTGTACTCACCGTGATTGATAATTAGTAAAGTTATATATTTTCTATAAAAGTAAAATTTATACTTACTAAAATATATAAAACTTACTCAATAAATGGTAGTACTTCGTCACAATTATTCAGAACATAAAAGTGAATTTCTTCCCATTCCTTTGTAGTAAGTAAACGAGGACATTCCTTCCCGAATGCTCTACCTCTTGTCTCAAATATAGGTAGGATATCAATTGGAAAAATTTCACGATCATCATAAATTCTATCTTGTTTGTTAAATTTTGTCTCAATATCCTCCATATATCTTGAACAAAATGTCAAGCATTCCTCTAAGAGATACCCTTATGCTATTGATCCTTCAGGGTGACCTTTATTGCGTACATACCCTTTTAATTTTCCAAGATACCTATAAAAAAAATTAAACATTACATATTTATTTATTATTATTACTATAAAAAAAATAAAAATAAAATGAAAATTTTCTACCTTAACGATAATGAACTGGTCCCGCAATCAAAGCTTCACTTGCAAGGTGAATGGGTAACTGTAGCATGATCACAAAAAAGGAAGGAGGAAAAATTCTTTCTAGCTCACATAGGGTAACCCCAATTTGTTTTTCGAGTTTCTCTAACTCATCAATCTTTAAATCCTTAGAACATAACTCTTTGAAAAAGGTGCTCAACTGAACAAGTGGAGAAGACAATGATTTAGGCCAACCACGTATAGCAAGAGGCAATAGATGCTCCATAATAACATGATAATCATGGCTTTTTAATCCAGAGAGTTTACGTTCTTTAAGGAGGGAATTTTTTGAAATATTTGAAGCATAGCCATCTGGAAACTTCACACTAGTCAAAAAATTACAAAAACTCTCTTTTGTTCCAAAGATAATGCACGAGGAGCTGGAGGTAGCTCTTTTGATTTATCAGGATGTGTTATAGGGTGCAATGACTTTCTAATTTTCATTTCAACTAGATCAAGACGTGCACTCATATTGTCCTTAGTTTTTCCTTCAATATCCAATAGTGTACTAAGTAAAGTTTCACACACATTTTTTTCTATATGCTTTACATCCAAATTATGACGTATCAAAAGACTACTCCAATATGGCAATTCAAAAAAAATGCTCTTCTTTCGCCATAATTTCTTTTGTTTTGTCTTTTTCTTATCACGCTTTCTCTTTTTCTTATTACATTCAGCTTGTTCAGCATCAATTTGCTGTAACACTTCCTCACCGGATAATGGTCTAGGTGCAGGTCTCAGCTCTTGTTTCCCATCAAAGGTTCTTCCATCATATCTCCATTTATGATCTAAAGGTAAGAATCTATGGTGACACATATAACAATGTTTATTTTCATTTGGTAACCACTCCGAACTAGTATCGCTATTACAAGACGGACAACCAACAGCTCCTCCCGTTTTCCAACCTGATAAATCACCATAGGCAGGATAATCACTTATAGTCCATAACAAAGATGCATGCATTTTAAAGTTCTCTTTCTTTGAAGCATCATATGTTTCAACACCAACTTCCCAAAGTAAATTAGCTCCTCTATTAAAGGTTGCAAATAAACATCAATCTTATCTTTCGGCCTCTTAGGACCTGGTATAAGCATTGAAAGAATGAAAGAATGTTGCTTCATACAAAGCCATGGAGGTAAATTATATGGTATAAGAACTACCGGCCATGTACTATGAGCAATATGACCATTTCTAAAGGGACTAAACCCGTCACTTGCTAACCCAAGGCGAACATTTCGAGGTTCGGAGGCAAATGAAAGATATTTTTCATCAAAAAATTTCCACGCTTTAGAGTCCGCTGGATGTCTCATTATACCATCAGGATCATCAACACGCTCATCACTATGCCATCTCATACTTGCTGCAGTTTTAGATGACATATACATTCTTTGAAGCCTGGGAATCAAAGGAAAATAACGCATTGTCTTTCTAGGAGTCCTTCTAGGCTTACATTGTGACGTTGAAGATTCATTATTACGTTCATCAATTTTCCATCTAGAAGCATGACACTTTACACATTCATCAGCATTAGCATGATCCTTCAGAATAGCATACAATTATTAGGACAAGCATCAATTTTGATAGACTCAAGGGAAAGGCTCTTTATCATCTTTTGAGCATCATAAAAAGATTTTGGCAGAAGGCAATGCTTCTTTAAGTAGATCAAGAATCATAGACAAGCTTTTATCACTTATTCCACCTAAGCATTTTATGTGGAATAACTTAAGCAAGAAAGACAGTTTTGAGAATTGCTTACAGCTAGGATACAACTCTAACTCAAGATCAACCATTAGTTTGTAAAAGTTTTTTGTTGCTTCCGGAGGATCTTTGCTTTCACTCACACCAATTGTCTTGTCCCCCACGACATTGTCAGATTGTACTCCAGAGGCATCATGTAGCATATCAGACATGACATCATGCTCATGCAATGGGTATTCATTTGACTCATCTATAATATTATCAAGAATTGTTGAATCATCAACCCGTTCTCCATGTCGCAACCAACGTGTATAACTCTTAACAATCCCAAATTTAAGCAAATCTAACTCTATTTCGTCTCTACATTTTCTTCTTTCATTGTTGCATTTAACACATGGGCAAGGCACTACAGCTTTGGCATTCTTTTGTGAAAAAGCAAATTCTAGAAACTCTTTTACACCAATCTTGTACCTAGGGACACTTTTTTTGTATTGCATCCACTCGCGATTCTTTGACACCATGATCTCCTATATAATTATCATATTAAATTTTATTAGTTTTTTTTTTTTTTTTTTTTTTTTTTTGGTAAGCATGTATAAACAAGTTAATTACATTAAAGATGTTGTAACATAACTGCAAATAAATAATCACAAAATTAAGCAAACAGAAATTCAGGAAAATAAACTATTTATAGCACATAAATGACAATTACATAATCAATTATACACAACACAAAAACAATGAAAAGAGTACTTTCAAGAACAAATCTTTCTCCAAATAAGTAACAAATCAGGTTGTTCTCTTTGTGTTCTTTTTGAAAAAAAAAACTGGAAATACTTCTTTCTTGGGATCTCTTCATTAAATTAGATTTCTGAAATCTGTAGCAATGTAGCATTATTAAGTAATTAAGCTTGTGGTTTCAAAAAAAAAAAAAAAGGGTTTATTAAGTTTGTATTAGAACATATCATTATTAATTTATTTCATAGTTGCAAGTTCAATCATCATTACAGCTTCAATTTAATTAAAAAAAAAAAAAAGAACTTCAACTAGGCAGTAAGGCAGTTGGCAATTGGCAGATTCAATTCAACAATCAACCTATTTCACTAATTGAAATCTACAATTCAATTCAATTATTCAATTTATAATTGAATTCATACTCAAAATCTCAAATTCTAACCATTTAACCAACAAAAAACAGAATCTAATTGAAACAAAAGAGAAAGGAAAGAACTCAAGAAGAGAACCTTAATTGGAGCCTTGGAGGAGTTGGAACCCGAGAACACTGAACAGTGAGCACCCCCTAAACACCGTCACTCTGTCAGGTCGCCGACTTGCCGCCGAGAAGAACTCCGTCTCGGTGACTCCGTGACTCGTGGCTAAGCAGGGAACTTGATGAGTACGTGCTAAGATAGAGGTTATTTCACTTTCTATAAATTTTCTATAAATTTTTGGGGCTAGTGCTGTTGAAATTGAAGATATGGGAAGATTTGGTGGGATGTTTTGGTTTTTGGGGAAATAGTGGCGGTGGAAGATACTAAGGCTAACATTGTAGGGGTTATTTCACTTTTTTTTTTTTTTTGTAATACTGGCCTATGAATCTATAATACGAGTATACGACATTAGGGATGTACTTTTATTTTATTTTTTAAATTGGTATTTATTTCTTTAAATTTATGTAATAAGTCCAATACAACAAACATACTATATATATTTATTGTAGACTAAGCTTATAGTCTTATAATATAAAGTATTGTTAGTAAATGAAAAAAATAACAAAAAAATAAAAATAAATTAATGTGGGTAGGGTTGGTAGGAAAGAAAAATAATACTTCCTCTATTTTTTTAATATTACACCACTTACCTTTTAAGGTAGTTTTACATCTATTGCACCATATCCATTTTAGGAAAAGAAATTTATATGTTCACACTATAAATACCTAATATACCCTTGCTTTTCACCCCTTACTTTTATTTTGTGCATACAATCACATGGGCAACTTGGTATTTCTACCTTTCTCTCTCATCCTTTCTTCCACTATCAAAAAATTTGTGTCAAACCCTTATGGTGCAATCAATATAAAATGGAAGGAATATAACACTTTAAATAATTAACACGTGTGAGTTTTTATAGACTTTGAGGGTTTGTTCACATTTATTGAAGTGAGCTAAACTGAATTGCACTGAACTGAGTTGATCGGAGCTGAACTGAACTGGAATAATTGGAGCTGAACTAAATTGAATTGAACTGAGCTGAAATGAATATTTTATGAGAGAATGAAATTAGGAGCTGAACTGAACTGAACTGATTGGAGCTAAACTGAATTGAATTGAAATTAAGCTGTATTGAACAGGCTATAAGGCAAAACTAGCTTATGTGTAGATGAATGAGAGTATAAAATTAACAGATTTCCTTATATTGATTAAACTATGACACTACATACATACACTAAGGGCATGTTCTGATTTATTGAATAACAATTAAGCGGTACTGAACTTAAATGAATTGAACTGAGTAGAGCTGAAATGAATTGTTTATGAGAGAAGGAAATTAAGGAACTGAATTGAACTGAACTGAATAGAGCTGAAATGAATTGTTTATGAGAGAAGGAAATTAGGAACTAAAATGAATTGAAATGAACTGATTGGAGCTGAACTGAACTAAAACTAAGCTGAAGTTAAGTTGATATTAACTTAGATTATGTAATGTGAATATAACCAATTTGTTATAATTAAATTTGAGTGTGACAGTTGCACAATAAATAAAATTGAGTAGTAAATTATTATAATTACATATGAAATACTTGGAAAACTAATGTAACTTCACGCTATCTAAAATATACCTTGTCTTATTATCTTGGAAAGACAAACTCTAATTATTTTATGTATTGATTTAATTTTAAATAGTATCTTGATATTCAACAAATTGATATGTTGATACTCTCTTCATATTTCTAATATTTGTTTTATAATTTTCGTATCCGGAGAAATGGAGCAAGTAATAAATACAAAGGGAGATTTTAATTAATATGTCTGTGATTTAATAAGTAATAAACTACTACTCTTATTTTTATTTAAGTTAGTTAAATTATTCTAAAATTACGTGTCTATCAAAGTGTAACACTTAAAAAAACACGGAAGGAGTATTTACGTACCACTTGAGTTTTTTTATACTACACGTAAGACAAGAGTTTATGTTGTACACTTGTAATACCCTTCTCTATTTCATAATAATCAGAACAATTTGACTGATATTTGTGCGAAGAAATGTTTGTATATTATGTATAAAAATTTGATACAATAATAACAATTTACGTAAGACAAATGCAAAGGTATTTTACATAGCAACACATTTTTTTTTATGTATTGATAAAACCTTTAGTTAAATTAAGTAAACAAACAGTGCAATAAAAGTCAACTCATTTTGTATAATGTATGAAAGTATGTTGTATAATGTTCATGTATATTGTACTCTAGATCTCAATCTTTTCCCATCCCATACAAAAGAATGGAGGAAAGCAAACAAATATAATAAGGCAAAACAAAAAAAAAAAAAAAAAAAAAAAAAAGAAACCCCAACACCTTAAACAAAGCTCTTCGTATGTTCCGCCATTATTTCCCCAAAAAGAAGCAAACAACCCACCAAATCTTCCTAACTTATCTTCAATTTCAACAAATCAGAAAAAAATGGAAAATAATAAAATTCTTGATCATCTTGGCGGAATTATGATCCAAAATAGTGAAATTTTCAAAACTGAATTAACCCCAAAAATTGAGAGGGAATTTTTTTATTTTCATCTGTTATTCCCTCCTAAAATTTTCACAATTAAAATACAAGTATGTGGTAAATAATCCCCTTGTCTATCCTTTTTTTTTATTAAATTTTCCTCCTATAAATTTACACTAAGCAATCTCAAAAGTTAGATTTAAAATAAATCTTACTACTCGAACTCAGAGAAATCAGACGAAGAAAATAGCGATTGGAAGCAGTCGAATTTGATTTGTTGGAGTACTTATCACCGTCCAAGGTAATTAATATGTTTAATTCATCAATAGAAGTAATTTTTTTTTGGTTTTTTTTAATTATTTTAAATATGATATTTTTAATTATTTTGAATATGATAGTATTCTAAATTTTTAGATTGAACTACGAATTTATTGTTATTTATAGTTTTTAAATTAAATTACTTTGAATGTGAAATTTAATTGAATGATAAAATGTATCAACTTTGAAGTTTGCGGTCTACTATTATACTATAACGAATGTTTTGATTGGTTGAATTTTGTGCAAATATGTGTAGATTAATGATTTTTGTGAGATCTGTCGTAAGACCATACCCGTACCCGATTACCGAACCGCCCTTTCGGCTATGATTGAGAGTCCATATTTCTCATATTACCCATCATTTTTATTTTCTGTATAATCAAAACACTAATAATAATAAAACAAATATGTGTATTCGAGTGATAATTAATGAAAACAGAAAGATTGTGGGAGTAGAGAGAAAAGAAAGAAAAGGGTGAGTGTTTAGTCAGGGTGATGCTATTTTGGGTGGGAAGCGTAAGTTCAATGTAGGTACTCTGTTTGGCTATTAACTTTGATTAAGGTATGAAATTTTGTTTTGTTTGGTTGAATAGTTGACAAACTACTTTTATATGTAGGTTCAAATACATAAAAGACAATTTTATGACATTTAAGGTTTCTTAATGTGTCAAATCGACAAATTAATCCAGTAATTAAAATATTATTTGGTTTAAATAATTTTACAAGGTTTTGATTTATTGTAATGATTTTATTCATGCACATACTTACTGTAGTTTATCACTTTGATTTCTTATAGTTTTTCTTCTTTAGCTCCAATATGTCAAGATCAGGAGGAAAGGCTCCTTCAAAAGAAAACTACATAGCTCAAAATGAGTATGAAATACAAAGACTCAGGACAATTGAAGCTAACAAGACGAGGATGAAGACTTTGGGCATAAAGCGCATTGCCGCTTCTTTGACAAGTTTAGTAGATAGCTCAAAAGTTAAGAAAAGTAAAGAAAAGTGTAATGCATCACTTGAGAAAGATAGTGATTATGTACCCGATGAGAATGAGTAAGTTGAGTATGAGAAAGAAACTCACAATGTGACTTCAAATAAGAAGGTATTGACTTATTTTTCGTAAAGTTTTTCTTAGATACTATCTAATAATCATGCATTATCTTATATTTGGTTACCTACTCTTTATTATAAAAAATTTCAGGTTAAAATTAATGAGAACAAAGAAAGGGATCGAAGGAGCAATCTCATTCCACCAATGTCAATTGCTAGGTTATTAAGATCAAATAAAAAAAGACAGGCAAGACAAGGAAATAAAAACGGTGATAAAACCGGAAGAGGTATACAAGGAAATATTCATGCGATTTCTCAATTTTGGTATATTCTACTAACTTGCCCCAAAATGTACTTGATATAGGACGATATGAAGCGCAACACTCTGAAAACAATAATGATAATGATTTGCAAGGTCGAGAAGGTGATAACAGTTTAGATCAAACAAGAGATGACATTACTTTAAAAGGACAAGAAGATTTCAACAATGCAGACATGATTAGAAGTTATGATGATGAAATACCTATAAATGAAGGAGAAGACAACAATGGTATTATTTGTTATTTATTCAATGGTTTTTATTTACAATGCACGAATTAATACATTTCATAATGTTTTATATTATAGGAACTAAAAAAAAGAGAAAAACTTATAAGACTAACAATCCTAGAGGCCCTACAAGAAATCTTCAAATGGCAAAAATGAGACCTGGTGAGAAAAAAAAAGTGGATTTTAACATAAAAGGTCAGCCGATTGGTGTGAATAGGGCTTGTTTGGCAAATTATTGTGGTGGTCTTGTACGAGATCCTCTTAACGCTCCACTTTATGAGGTGAAAGTATTTTAACAGATTTCGAAAGAAAATAAGGAGAAGATGTGGCAACTTGTTCTGGTAATTTTTTTTTTTTTTATAATTTTATACCTTGATACAAATAGATTATTTTTTTCTTGCAATTTTTTTTTTTTTTTTTTTTGGCACTAATAACTACATTTCTGTGTATTGTAAAGGAAAAATTTGATATAGGACTTGAAGATGATGAGGATGAAGAGGGACGTGAAAAGAAGTTAAAAGAAAGAAAAAAGTTTATCATGGAATCTTTGAATAAGAAGTATAGGAATTATCGCGCAAGATTGAAAAATACTTATTATGATACAGTTGGTACAGATGAAGATCGACTTAAAGAGGAAAATATGCCTCCAAATGTTGATGAAAATGACTTGAAATGGCTTGTTGAATATTTTGGGTCAACAGAATTTAAGGTATAGTATAATGTTATCATATATTTCTTTCTTTCTTTTTTAGTTTTGGACATTAATTATATATTACTTTTCATATTTTAAAGGCCATAAGTAAAAGAAATGCTGACAATCGATCTTACCAAGATGCTGGACACACTGCTGGGACAAAGAGTTTTGCTCAAAAAGCCGAAGACATGGTAAACTCTTTCCCTTTATTTTTTTTGCAAAAAAAAAAAGTAATTTTATGATGTAACTTTTTTATGATATCAGTTCAATCGTGACAAAGTAGTGCCAAGCATGTTGGATTTATACGAGGAAACTCATTCTAAAAGTGATAAAGCACCTATCACTGAAGTGGCAAAATAAACCATGGTAAGAATTTACGTAGTAGTAAGACTAATATTGAAAAATCATACTATATCTATATTGTATTACAAAAGCTAATGAACAAATCCTATCAATAACTTAATTCATCGTATTTTCATTTTTTATTCCTATATTATTAAAGGTATTTTGAAAGTTAATTGTGGAGGTGGTATATGTTGTGATTGAAATGATGTTGGAGTTGTTTTATGTTTATTGTGTGACAGCAGGTTGAAATGATTATATTAAAGTTGGTTTTCAGTCATATTATAAGGGAAATTCTGTCCAAATTTATGTAGAAGTAAAGATACATTGTATTTGTTATAAGTTAAAAAGACTTGTGGCCTTTATTCTCTCTGTAGGATCAATCTAGTATATAATTAATTGATTTCATTTGTAATTATTAGTGTTTTTAGTTTTTCCCCTTTTTGTATAATCTTACATTTATTTTTTTTATACAGTCAAAAATTAAAGATCTCCTTATGCAACGTGAGGCAGGAGAAATAGACATGACCGATGAAGAAATCTATGCAAAAGGTAAGCCCATTGGTAAACGTGGTCGTTATCGTGGCAAGGGAGTCAGTCCTTCTATTACATCATTATATGGGACATTTAGTGAAGGAGAAAAGCTACGCAAAGAAGTCGATGAAGCAAAGAATGAGGCAATAGAGGCTAAACAAGAGGCAAAAGAAGCTAATGTGAAAAATAAAGCCCTAAATAAAAAGATGAGAGGCCTTCAGAATGAAATGGAGGTCATGAAAGATTTCATGAGGAATATTTTGAACCATCTAGGCTATGATTTGTCTGAAAGGTATATTTCATTATTTAATACTATTATATGATTATTGGATTGAATTTAAAAAATAGTTTTTATTTGTCATTGCATACTAATTATGAAAATATAGGTTAATGATAACGAGGATGACTATGAGGAAGATAATGAGAATAACGATGAAGAGGATGATGAAATTCAAGTAGATGAAGAGTAGTAGTAACATTTATTTTCATTCATTGTAAGTTCTAGTGAACTAAATTTTTTAATCTTTCTTTGGATGTGATAACATTTAACTATGATCATTTACAGCTTTATTTTATTATTTTATGAATTAGTGATCTATACTTATTTAAATCTAATTTTTCATCATTGTAACAAATATTTAATTTCATACTTTTCAATGACAGGAAATTATATAATGAAGATGGCTAGAGATGGAATTGGAAGAAATTGAAGAAAATAATGTTGTTTTCAAGCTTATAGTTTTAGATAGAAAACTATTTTGTATTCACATTATCCAATTTTTTTTTAAATTATTTTGAAGTTAAGTAGTTTAGTAACTTAAATGAATATTTTTGGATCAATAATGTAATGACTATTAAATTATTAATAATGTTATTTTTGTTTGATATAATGAAATCAACTTGCTTTACATACGTTATATTGACATGATGATAAATCTTTTAAAATGATGTGGCCTATAAATGTACAACAAAAATTATATCATGACATAAAAAATTCTTGTAATATAAATTACTATACATTTCGAATTAATATATTAGAGGCATATACAATGTTCTTTTGCCTCTAAAAACCTTTTATGTCAAATTTCTAATTTGCATCTAAATATCATTAGCATTAATATAAAAAATTGAATCTAATTATATTTTGAGACAAAACTATATGATTGCTTCTAAATGTATATGGTATGTAGAAGCAAATAGATATAATGCCTTTAAATATATTTTGAGGCAAAATTATAAGGTTGCCTCTAAATATATATGGTATTTAGAAGCAAATTTTCATAATGCCTCTAAATATATTTAGGGGCAAGATTATACGGTTGCCTCCAAATATATTTAGAGGCAAGATTATACAATTGCCTCCAAATATATTTAGGGGCAGGATTATATAGTTGCTTCTAAATATACGGGTTTTTAGAAGCAATGCATTGTATTGCCTCTAAAAGAGGCTTTAGAGGCAACCATCAATTAGCGACGGAATTTTTAGAGGCACTTGATTAATTATCTCTAAAAGTTATTAGAGGCAACATCATTATTATTAGAGGCATTTTTTACTTGCTTCTATAAGTAATTTTTTTTTGTAGTGTCGGAACTCCAAACCTAGGAAAAATGATCTTCTTTAGAAGCTTAAGCACAACCTTGTGATCATTGGTAGGTGAGGGTATGGCTTCAATCCATTTCGTAACATAATCGACCGCTACCAAGATATATAGATTCCCACAAGAAGAAACGAAAGGCCCCATAAAATCCACCCCCCAAACATCGAAGGGTTCAACTTCTAAAACACTTTGTTGGGGCATTTCGTCCGTCTTGTTAATGCCTCCGCTCCTTTGACATCTATCACATTGCGCAACGAATTGGTGGGCATCTCTATGCATTGTCATCCACCACAATAAAGATTGAGAGATTTTTGCCACTGTTTTGTCAACACCACCATGCCCTCCACATGGTAGTGAGTGGCAATGCTCAAGAACTCCTTGAATTTCGTGATCTGGAACACACTTCCGATAAAGGCCATCTCCACATTCCTTGAATAGGTATGGGTCATTACTAAAGTACCTTCTCACTTCCTTGAAAAACTTCTTCTTTTGTTGAGAAGTGTACTCCGGGGGAACGACTCCACACGCAAGATAGTTGGCTATATCCGCGTACCAAGGGGTAGAAGTTGACACCAAAGCCATGAGAGCCTTGAATCCTATCTCATCATTAATCGGTACATCCTCCTTGTTCTCAAATGGGTAGCCTAGACAAATGATCCGCTACATAGTTCTCCGCTCCCTTTTGTCCCTCATTTCCATGTGAAAGTCTTGGAGAGAGAGAACCCAACGGATCAAGAGAGGCTTTGCTTCTTTCTTGGTCATGAGATACTGCACCGCGATGTGATCCGTGTACACAATAACTTTTGAGCATATAAGATAGGACCGAAACTTATCGAATGCAAACACTACCACTAACATCTCTTTCTCCGTTGTTGTGTAATTATTTTGAGCCTCATCTAGAGTCCTACTTGCGTAGTAGATGACACATGATTTTCCTTGTCTATTTTGACCAAGAACGACACCTACTGCAAAGTCACTAGCATCGCACATTAGCTCAAAAGGCAAGCTCCAATCCGGAGCTTGCACAACGGGAGAAGAAATGAGAGCTTCCTTGAGCTTACAAAACGCCTCAAGGCAAGCCTCATTGAAGTTAAAAACAACCTCTTTTTTGAGTAATTCTGTCAAAGGTTTGGCGATTGAAGAAAAATCTTTGATAGACCTCCGGTAAAAACTGGCATGCCCAAGAAAAGCCCGTACCCCCGTGATGGAAGTAGGAGGGGGCAACTTTTCAATCACCGAAACCTTGGTCGGATCAACCTCAATGCCATTTTTTGAAACCTTGTGGCCGAGGACAATGCCCTCCTCTACCATAAAATGGCACTTTTCCCAATTTAAAACCAAACTCGTCTCTTGAAACCTTTTCAAAACTTTTTCAAGGTTAAAAAGACAAGTGTCAAAAGACGAGCCACCAACACTAAAATCATCCATGAAAACTTCAATTTCTTTTTCAAGCATCTCAGAGAAAATGGAATTCATGCATCTTTGAAAAGTAGAGGGAGCATTGCATAATCCGAATGGAATTCTTTGGTATGCAAATGTCCCATATGGACACGTGAAAGTAGTTTTCTCTTGATCACTTAAATGGATAGGGATTTGGAAAAAATCGGAATACCCATCCAAGAAACAAAAGAAAGCATGGTTAGAAAGCCTTTCAAGCATTTGGTCCATGAAAGGGAGAGGAAAACAATCTTTCTTGGTGTTTTTGTTCAATCTCCTATAATCATTCTCCACCCGGTCACCATCCGGGTGGAGATTTCCTCTCCCTTTTCATCCTTGATTATGGTCATCCCACCCTTCTTTGGAACTACATGAACCGGGCTAACCCATTTGCTATCGGAGATAGCATAGATGTTGCCCGCCTCACGTAGTTTCAAAATTTCTTTCTTCACAACCTCTTGAAGGTTGGGGTTCAAACTTCTTTGAGGTTCAATGGAGGTGGAATGATCATCTTCAAGATGAATATGATTCATGCATAAAGAAGGGCTAATACCTTTGATATCATCAATGCTATACCCTATCACATCCCTATATTTTCTTAAAACATCAAGAAGTTTTTCCAAATTAAGAGCATCTAGGGTAGCATTGACAATAATAGGGTATTTTCCCTCCTTATCAAGAAAAGCATATTTCAGAGAAGGGGGAAGGGGCTTGAGTTCTACCTTGGGAGGAGGCTTAGAAATCTCCTCCAATTTCTCCTCCTTGGACTCAAGCTCGATCTCAACTTGTTGTTCAACTTCCTCCTTTAAGGATTCCTCCATTGCCATGACAAATTCTATAGCCTCTTAAGAGTGGAACTCTTCTTTGCATGTAAGGGCTTCTATCATTGGATCTTGAGGCCTCATCATGACCCTCCCCAAGCGATCTAGCTCTTCATTCACAACATCAACTCTATAGCATTTTTCAACCATGGGGGTCTTGAGCAACTTAGAAAATTCAAAGACAATCTTTTCATCGGCCACTTCATAAGTGATGGTGTTGTTCTTGCAATTAATGACCGCCCCCAAAGTTTTAGGAGCTTCACGTCCCCAAATCAAAGGAGTGTTAATATCTTCCTCCATATCAATCACTACAAAGTCACAAGGCACGTAGATGTGTCCCACTTGAATTGGAACATCCTCAAGCTCTCCACAAGGTAATTTCACCGAACGATCGGCCAATTGAATTTCCTTCCTTGTAAGGATCATCTCAATATTGAGTTTTTGAGCAATGGATAGAGGGATTAAACTAACACTTGCTCCAAGATCGGCTAAGGCTCCCCTAGCTTCCATGTTCCCAATTTTCACCGGCAAAGTGAAATTTCCCGGGTCTTTTTCCTTCTTTGGCATCTTATGTTGGACAAGGGCACTCACTTGATGTGGAAGGGTGATAAGCTCATCATTGAGCTTCCTCTTGTTGGTGAGAATATCCTTGAGGAACTTGGAGTAAGATGGCATTTGTGTCACAACTTCAAGAAAAGGGAGGTTGATATGCAAATTCTTCATGACACTAAGAAATTTTGTGAACTTGTCATTCAAATTCCTCTCCTCTAGCCGACCGGGAAAAGGAACCGATCCATCAAGATTCCTAGCCTCACTAGGAATTGAAGTTGTCTTCTCATTGTCAAGCTTCTTCTTCTCCGAACCTCCTTCTATCTCATCACCTTTTTCTTTCTTACCTCCCTTGTTTTCATTCACACTCTTATCACCTCCCTTCTTTTCCTCACTATCCCCTTCATTTGTCCCTTCATAGGAAGTTCCCAACCTCAATGTGATCGCCTTGCATGTATCGGGTTTCGGATTGTGAGATGGGTTAGGTTGTGGTTGTCCGGGTAGAGTGGATGGTGATTGAAAGGAGTTCTCTCGGCCAATTGAGCTAGTTGTGAATCAACCATCTTATTGTGAGCTCTTATCTCTTGCATTTGTTGCCCAAAAGATTTCATTCACGCATGCATGGCTTGGAGGAGTTGAGTTTGAGTTAGCTCCGCTTGAGGTTCTTGTTCTTGATGATTTCTTTGAGGTGCTTTGGTTTGATTGTTGTATTGGTTGTTCCTTGGATAGCTTCCTCTTGGGTTTTGGGGTTGAGATGGAGGTGGATTTTTATATTAAGGGTTGGAGTTATAGGAAGGTTGAGCTTGTTGGTTCCATTGTTGAGGTTGAGGTACAAACCCGGGTGGTGGTTGTCTCCAAGCTACTCCACCGCCGCTTCCTCTAAATCCCTCTTGCCTTGTGTTGTATGCCGCTACATGTTAAGGGCTTAAACCTCCACAATAGGATGTATCATGGTTCGTTCCTCCACAATTTTGACAAGAGAAAGAGTTAACTTGAGAAGAGATTGCTCCACCACTTGAACTTGCATTCACACTCGTGTTCAACTTGGAAAGCCCTTTTGTTAGTTGATCAATTTGATGTTGTAATTGATCAACTTTCTCCAATTCGTAAATACCACCTCTCTTTGGAGCGTTTCTTCTTTGGCCCCCCCAAGAGTAATTCTTTGCTACCTCTTCTATTGTGGCTTCAACTTGATTTTGAGGGATCTTGATTAATTGACCACCCGCCCCCGCATCCAAATTGGCTCTTGACATGGGCTCCAATCCGTCGTAGAAAAACCGCATGAGCAATCCTTGATTGTACTCATGGTGGGGACATGCTTGTACCAACTCTTTGAATCTCTCCCATGCTTCACCAAGACTTTCATCGGCCTCTTGCTCAAATGATGCAATTTTCCTTCTCATTTCGGCGGTCTTCTCTTCGGAGATAAAGCGCTTCAAGAA